AATATAACTTTGATTTTTGGATGATGGATACACCTGGAAGCACTGCAGCTGTGAAAGAGAGAAAAGGAGAGAGAGCGAGAGAGAGGAGAGAGAGAAGAGAGAGAGGGAGAGAGATCAAAAGAAAAGAGGAGAGACTAGGATAAGAGAACAGAGAGAGAGAGGAAAGAGTAGATATACAGACAGATGTGAAGGAACAAAAGAAATTAAAATGAAATAAGACAAAGAACAGGAATAAGGAAATGTAACAGAAAGATTAGATGAAACAGACTGAGACACACGAAGAAGAGAAATGATCAGGATATTTTGCATATACAAAAAAGAAATGCAACATCATCCTACAAAATGAAATGAAAACAGTTAATGATGAATTCATAATAAAAGTGATGACATGATTTCTGTAAACAGAGTCACCACTGGTTACTTATTCTAATAATTCTGTGTCAACATATAAATAAATTTGAATAGTAAAATGACTACAATAACAGGGTAATACAGTTCCATGATCTACCCAAGTGTCTAATAATTTTGCCGTTTGGTTTGAGAGTTAAACTGATCTACTCCTCAATACAATACTCCATTTCTTTAAACAGGACACTATTTTTAATGTTTATCCCCATTTGTAACATAACAGTTTTTAAGTCACTTTAGGGAAACGTAGTTGTTAATTTCTGAAGCAATTCATAAGGGAAAATAAGTTAACATCTATGAATACAGTATAGAAACATTGAAAAGCACACAAACATCATCTATCATACACAATATATATGAATTCATAAAGATCTTACATTTTCATTCACATTAATTCATAAATTCATAGTCAATATCATAAGAATTCACAGTCTATTGAAAGATTTGTTAAATGTATCTATGTACAGTATGCAGTAATTTGGCAATAGTGTCTCTATTAATTACAATAATAAAATTACCTCAAAATTGCAAAATAATAACTAGTCAATAACTGTGCGAGTGTTCGATTTCAGATAAATCTGTACATGTATAAATACTTTAACTTAGCGTCTAGAATACCTGATATATCAATGTGAAATAAAATGTATAGAAACAGTAACATTTGCATAAAGACATCAAAGTAAAGCACAGTTTGTACACTCACCAAAGAAGCACAAAAAGAGATGAAAAACGGCATAATAGGGACCATATTAGCACAAGAAAATGGTTGTATTCTCTTATCCTTCATCGTACCTTATCCAACAAATAATGAATTACGCAGCTATTAATTACACCTTGTCTTATAGTCACAATAAAACAATCTCTTGCCGAAATATTGAGAATTTATCCTTCAATGATTTCTACTAAGGGTCTAAAACACAATACTGATGTACATTTCAAAGTTTGATTTTGTGTATGAAACTAATGGGAGGTAGTCTTACAAAACCCTTTCGCAAGTCAGTGAATAAAAACACGTTCTAAAGATAACAATGAAAATAAAGGCTTGTTCGGATATGGCATGGTAAACCGCTGCAAAAAAACACAAAATGCCATTGTTTATAATGTGTAAATGAATGGCTACTGCGCGCAATGAAGGACTTGCACGTATTCACGAACTCTGTGTTATGAGATACAGAAACGTGAAACGTTTTATACTTTACGTCCACATTTAATAAAAGTGTCATATCTCAACGAGCCTTCATACTCGATAAGATTATGAACATTAATTCAACAAAGCACCAAGGTTGTATGAACGGACTAGAATATTATCTTCGATCATATTATGGTAACAGTTTTGAAATTATTTCATGAATAACCATTTGCAGGTCTACCCTTTGAAATAATTTCAATTTGAATTGGTCATTTAAGGATACAGTAATAAACATCTTGAGACATAACCCAGTTACATAATGAGATATACTAGCACAGATATATTGTGATAATTCATTGTAGTGTTTTTATACCTTTGTAATAAACCCTGCTACTGATGTATCAGTAAAATGTAATTTCTGATGAAAATAGTTTAAATAGAAGACGATACAGAATAGCACTCTTATCACACTGAAAGAGTAAATTTCATTTAAAACAAGAAAAAAAATCAATTAAGCTGGGATTTACTCTGGCTGAATAAAAAGAAACAGGTAATGGACAAATAGTAACCTCTTTGATTGTCTGACAAATCACAAATTGCATGATTAAATTTTGATTGTTATTAATTTTCTCCCTAACCACTTCCTTCCAATTCATATTTTCTGGGAGGTCATTAAAATTCATGTGATACAAAGATGTCCTAAATATAAGCAGTTAGTCAACTTCACTAAATCACTAATAAATTCCAGCGCTATTAAGAACTCTGTAAATGTTTAAACCCGGTCAATGATCTCCCTACTTTCTTCTATTCCACTATCAAAATGATTGAGTATAAGAAAAGGTTAATGTCTCGATGCACGGTGATCAAAATCCAACTTGGCTATTATCACAAGTCTACAATCTAATCTCTATCGATACTTCTTGTCATTCTATATACAGTGTATGAGTAATAGGCCAGTTTGGGAGGAGCATGTACAGTTTACCACATTAAAAAAAGTTTTATCATGACATTGAGCTGCGAGGATAATTCTTAACAAGCCTCTATGTAATACATACAAAGTACCCTGAGATAAATAAATAAAACAATTCTCTTTGTACATGACAAGAAGTAATTTAAAAAAGACAGATTTATGCTTATAACAATACTAGCAAACATACATCTGAATAACATAATAATGCTTATATGAGTAATACTGTCTTTAGATACATGAATTCAACCCCCATATCCATCAAAGCATGAACAATTGAAAAGTTCTTATTGATATTTATCTTATTTCTTTCTTTTTCTTATTTTCATTTTTTGTAAGTTGGGTTACAATTTTTTGAAATACATGATGATGGTATAGTACTTTGCAGTCTTTGGACTTCCAAGACAGCTTATAATTTGAAGATCTCTCATTTTTCTGTAAAAAATTCATTTGAATTGAAATAAAAACCCTGGCATGTTAATCCATTGTCTATGGGAACTGAGTGGCTCCTGCATTAAAACCCATTAAATTGAGATATTTCATGAGTCAACATGTTAATTCTCTTAACTTACGAGGTAAGAAGTTTACTTTTATAAAATAGCCAGCGATTGAGAGCAGCATGCTGTCATACTGCAAGGATGCTTAACAAATATGGAAGAATAATTATGAAAAATCATTTAATCCAATTTTTAAATTGACTTATGCAACTGAAAGGTGCTCACCCTGTAAGAACCAAAGAAAAAATTATGAGGTATTAGTTCAGTGATATCTGTAGTGATTGGTATTGGGAGAGTCATTTTTCATATTTGTTGTAATACAGTATGACAACTGGCATTAGCCAGTCACATTTACTAACTTTCAGAAATGTTAAGACTCTTTTCTTTTTCTAATCAAGATCATGATATTTAAAAAAAAAAATTAAAAAATGCTCAGACCCGAATGAAATATTGCATTCAAGATTCAACAAATACATTCCCAAGAACAGAAAAAGTCTACTCGTCATTAAAGGTATCATAAAATTCTTGTCACATGATTGGCAAAAGTTTCAATTAATCTGGTATAAAATACAATATTCTTCTCTTTAAATAGTACTTTAAATTCATATGCTCCATCTGTAAAAGCACATCATTTGAATGTTAATGTGCCGCTGAAAAGATTCCTTGCAATAAATACTGATGATTTGAAATACGGTTAGTTCTGTATAATACAAAGTTACATACACTCTGTGATAAATCTTTCTCTTCTTCACCACTTGTCCTAATACTAATCTTCTTCTACTCTGCTTCATTTCGTCATAAGTATTCTCCACCCCTTCCTTCCACATTTTAACATAGTTCAGTCCCACCAATACATTAAAATAATTTCATTTGAAAATGCAAGGTAAGAGTTTGATTCTGCCTACCCATCCCCCCCTCCGCCCCCCTCATATAAAATGTAGTATTGAGAGCAGCCAAAATATAAAAAATATAAATTTTCCACTCGTGTTTTGTGCACAATCGATTGTCAGGAGTGAACATGCAAATTATGAATCAGGTAAGTCCATGATATTTTCTGCCAAACGTTACCATTAACATTTTAGATTTCAGTTTATCTGATAGTCCAACTAGGCCGTGAATCAGATGTGACATCAAATAAATTGATATTTGACTGTCAATTTCTGTTCACAATGCAATAACAAGACTCGGTAATACTTGGTGACATATGTGATATACCTTGGGACTTGTTAAACAGGGTAGCATTTCATGAAACCGTTATACGTACAAGTTCACCGACATCCCATTGAAATGCGTGTTAAACTTAATACATGCATTTCAATGGGATGTCGCTGAACTTGTACATATGATGGTTACGCGAGACGCTGCCCAGGTGATAATTCCTAGACCATGAGTAAAGAAATGCTCTATCTATTTGCTGAATTTCATCATTCTTTCGTCATTCTACACCTGAGATCCATGGGGGGGGGGGGGGGGGGGTTGTTGACTAGGATAGCCAAGCAAAATATGGTAGCACGAAAAGACACATCTTAAAGGGCGATTCCACGCAACGTGTATCGTATGACATATGAATTTTATCCGTTTACTTCATTCAAAAATGAAAATCTCTTGATATAATCAGTGAATATTAGTTCTTTCTTGGTATCACTTGGTATCACGATGATCATGTAGATATTTGTCATTCCTGGATGAAATAAATTGGAAAGTGTAATATGTCGCATGGGATATATGTCACAGGGGTCTCCCTGTAACACAAAAGGTAGAATAACTGGGGATGTTAGTGAATCAAAAGTTGTCATTTGACAAAGCTGCATTAGAATGTAGATAACATGACGCTTTATCCAGGTAGTAGCAGTGTTTTATGGCTCAATGCCGTAACAATATGGTGCCAACTCTGTGACGTCAAATATGATTTCAGCAATCATGCACTTTGCGTTCTCGATGTGTCTTTCTGTCCCTGCAGATTTTGCTGAGCTATCTATCTAATGCTGGTTGGTTTGTGGAACATACATCTTAGGTGCATGGAATGGTGAAAGTACTGAATTGTTTTACCCTGTTTTTTAAATCTTATGTACGTGCAAAACGATAATAACTTTAATAGGTGTATGCATCAGAGGCTAGCTGGTTGACAAAGGGTAGGTGTGCACAAGGTCAAAGGTCAGGGGTCATACTATTTCTTCCATGACCTTGCGTGATGTGTTGGCAGCAGAAACAGAAGGAGAAGTCCCTTGGATAGGCATAGTGATGACTGTTCCTGCAAAAAGATAAAGAGGATCATAGGATTGAGAAAATGTAAAAAATTGCTTACTGTACAAGCCTTAAAGGCATTGTTTAACAATGTTAAATCTGAGATGAATGGCCCTACCTGTTATCAGTGTCTGTGATATGGTGTAATATCGCAGCCCAACAAAATTTGCGCTTCAAAATGATCATGAAGTGCCTCAAAAAATTAAAAATCTTTGAGTGACCTGTTTTACCATACTCATTTTCCCCCCAATAGACTGTAGTGTTATAAAAACTGTTAGGAAAACAACAAAAAATGAAATTTCGATTTCCAATCGTAAATATCTTGATAATCAGACAGGCGATCGGCTTGTAAAATTTATGGGGTTCCTGACTGACCTAAAGGTTTATAATTATGATTGCAGCATGAACTAAATCCAGGATTCTCTTTAGAATCTGAGTCAAGATACCCAATCCCTTTAAAGCCCCACTGTCCTACTTGTAGCTACTTGCTCCTTCTATATAGAAAACTTCCCCAATCGGTGCCTGTTGGTCCCCCATGATCCTTTTTTTCTTATGTTAGTTGGGAGCTGAGTTAATGAGATAGCCACCTGTCAGTGACCTCGCTGTGTGGTCTAATCCCTGCTGGCCCAATAGTGTTGACGGTCTTTAAGCTATTATACGTGTTTGGTGGCATTGCTTCCAATGTCAAACTTACCCTGGGTATTCTTGAGAGTAGCTACAGATTGCACTGGCAGAGTCAGATGAGCTCTTGGTTTCCTGGTGGGTGTCCCTCTACTTGACCTCCGATGACCCTTCGACCCTCTCTCAGGTTTGCCACCAGAGGGAGTCTTATCTTCGGGTGACGGCGCGGGGCTCCGTTGGTCCCACACCTCGTTGTTACCGCAGCAGCACGCACACGGCGTCTGCTGCCGGCTAGAGTCTGATGATTTGGGCAAGGGTTGCGGATAATGCGTCTGAGGGGTGATGGTGTTTGGCGTGCCCGTCTTGGACTCCGACGGGGAAGGGGATTTGGAGGAGGGGGAGCACACATGATTACCCCTAACTTGGGATGATACAGAGTCTGGTGTCGTGACCGTTGATACACTGCTCTGAGGTTTGTAGGGCTGGATGCCGTCTCTTCTCGACGTGTTGACTCGCGTCGAGAAATTACTACCGCTGCTGGCGCTGGCGTTGGCATCGCTCCCCGATCGCTTCGGGTCATCACTGTCTGATTTGCTATTCTGTTTACGATTTGCATTTTGTACTTTTCCTTTGATTAAGCATGAAGGTGTTAGTTGTGCCGGTGGGCCTACATTCCAATACTGTTGAACGACCCCTGGTCTTGAATACACACAAGGGTCACATCCTGTTACCTCACTATGACATGTAGTAGAGCTACCATACACGCTCTGCGTGCTGTCAAAGTTTTCAGGGCTACTGGTGGAATCACTGCACTCAAAGTCTGCATTGAACGCTGATAAGCTGAGGCTGCTGCTTGACTCCGAACCCCTGAGCTGGTTGGTGGCGCCCTGCTGACAGGCCGTCGACGTGACCGCCTCCAGGTGCACCTGGACCGGCACATGGCACTGATCCCGGTAATGTCTGGATCCCTGAGACACACCCCTCTTACCGCTAGCACCACGTGAGCAATTAACCCCACCACCACTACCACCACCACCACCACTCCAAGGGACGTACGATGAATTCACCACATAGTGGCTTTCAAACGAAGCTAGACCAAGCTGGCGTGGTGTGACGCACCGGGAGTTGTACTGACCGTTACAGTTGATATGTCTATGGCAATGAGAGCACACATATTCACAGTTTGACTGCCACGTTAACGGGCCACGCCCAAACCACCTCTCCAGCTGGCTTTGAGAGGTGGACGGGAGGCGCGGCACACCCTCCCGGACGTTGGAACCACTCACTGCCGCTGACCGGTGATCCCGCTTGGACATCGACTGTGGACAGCGGCTTTTGGAATGTTTATGATGGTGGTGGTGGTGGTGATGCGATGATGATGATGTTCGGTGGTGATGGTGGTTTGGGGGTGCGGCGTACACGCCTTCCCAGGATGCATCTCTTGTGGGTGAATTTGGCAAGCTGACTCGAAGTTGTTGATCAACGGGACTGACATGACCTGATGGGGAAGCCTCAGAACTTTTTCCATCAAGTCCACAATCTGGCAGGAAAAAAGAAGAAAATCATTTAATATTCTAGGATCACTTTTGAAAACTTTAAATTATTCTTTTTTCAATTTTTTCTCCCTAAAGGACACAATCGTAACAAACATAATTTCTTTGTTTCTACATCATGGGCTTAACTGCCAATAGCTTATACATTTTTCCTTGTTGCTTCTTGTTAGTTTATGATCTGACTAATAAGAAGCTTTATTCACTGAGCTTAAAAAAAAGGTGTCAATACATGCTAGATTCATCTCTCCAACTCAACAGATATGTTTTACTCTTAAAATAAACAATTTAAGATTTCATTTCTGTATGAACATGCATAAAATCTTATCTGTAAAAAATTCTACAATATCCATGACTGAGCAAATCAAGTCGTAACACACGATATTATCAGTAATGAATAAAGCTTTATCAAAACTAAAAGTGAGGAATTTCTTTTTTTTAAAAGAAGAAGAAAAATCAAAAACTATTATTGATTACATTGTTTTGCTGCATCATGAAACATGAATAGGCATTTGCTATCAGTTCAGTATCAATTCCCAAAATGTAAAGATTCAACAAGGTCTAATGTATTCTTGATACAAAAAGTGCAAGAGCGCCATCTACAGTTCTGGCCATGCTCTACTCAGTGGCACTTGATGCATAAATGTTGGCAATTCTCAGAATCTTGCTTGTGTGGATGAAAATCCTTTGTTTATTCTATTACCACTTAATATAATGTGTTAACAGTACATGCTTGATAAATTCAAATATATACAATATCATAATACATATCTTATAAAATGCATTTAAGTCATTTGAGAAATGATATTGTTTGATGATTTTGACAAGTATTAAATCATTATCATTTATATGTAATAGGATGATAACCTGGCAACAATGTGTTGTAGGTGTATAGTTTTGGATTTTCATGTTGTAACATCAAATAACATGTTTATGGTTGGTAATTTCTGCTTCAAATGTGAATACATTGCATAGACCATAACTCTAGAAATTCAAGGAGTGTGTTTTTAACCTAACAAAAAGAATTTTATTATTGCTGATCTTTGGTAATTCCCTTGCAAGATAAATATTCCTAAATATAAATAACATTTGTTCCTTTAAGATGTAATCAATTATCACAGACTATAGGTTGACACACAAGGTAGAATTATGTGCTTATATTGAGACAGATAACACCAAGATATGATACTTGATTACTATTAAAAAAGAAGATAACATCTAAAAACATGAGATACTAAATGAAACATTGATTACCATTGGATCAACAGCTATCAATACATATAGAATAAGTCACAAATTTAATCTCTTATTAGGATAGAGGAAACCATATCAAAACTTACATATCAAACGAAACATGAGTGACTATTATTGGATCTACAGCTATCAATATATGTATGAATAAGTGACAAATTTAATCCCTTCTTAGGATAGAAGAAACCATTAAAAAACTTAAGGATTAAATGAAACATGGGTATGAATAAGTAACAAATTTAATCCCCTTTTAGGATAGAAGAAACCATTAAAAAACTTAAGGATTAAATGAAACATGGGTATGAATAAGTAACAAATTTAATCCCTTCTAAGGATAGAAGAAACCATTAAAAAACTTAAGACATTAAATGAAACATGGGTAATTATTATTATATTAGGATAGAAGAAACCATATAAAATCTTAGATATTGAATGAAACATGAGTATATAGCATAGGATCTACAGCTATCAATATATAAATGAAGAAGTAACAAATATAATCCCTTATTAGGATAGAATAAACCATATAAAACATGAGATATTAAATGAAATATGAGTAAATAGCATAGGATCTACAGCTATCAATATATGTATGAATTAGTAGCAAATATAATCCCCTGTTCCCTTTTAAAGATTAAAGATCTGGATGATACTAATCCACAGACTGGAATAAAACGTGAGTAATAAATGCTCATTTTCTTTCATATGTATGTCAACTATTTCAACTATTACTTGCAAAGTAGTTTAAGGATTAGAGCAGGTTTTCTGTGTATTATAAGATGATGACGTGGATCCTAATCAAATGATTGGTGGAAAGCGTACACATGACCAGGCATTTTTGTTTGCCCACGCGTAATTTGGATAATGACCGATCATTATCCTGTGGTAATGACCGGTCATTATCAAAATCATGTAATAAAACATCGTTTTATAAAAATAAAAAAACATAATCTTATAAAACAAATAAAACACATCATTTTGTTCGGGCATTAGTAAAATTACCCACACTAGGTACTTTCAAAACAGTCCAAACGCCCTGTCTATCGCCTCGGGCGTGTTAGACTGTTCCAAAGGTACCTTGTGTGGGTAATTCTTACTAATGCCCTCAATGCTGTGTATTATTTGTATAATATTTGATCAAGTAGTTTTTTCCCTACTAGAACTAAACCTTGACTACCATTGTACAATAAGAAAAGTGCTAAGATGGTTATACAAGAGACAGTTTCTAGACTTACCTAATATATTAAACATACACAGAGGACAGGTTCGGTTTGACAGCAACCACGGATCCACGCAGTGTTTATGAAACTCATGTGCACACGGTACTATCCTGACTTCCTGTGATAGAAACAGAGAGAGAGAGAGAAAGAGGGGGAGAGAGAGGGGGGAGAGAGAGAGGGGAGAGAGAGAGAGAGAGGAAGGGGGAGAGGGGGAGAGAGAGAGAGGAAGAGAGAGAGAAAGAGAGAGGGGAAAGATAGGGGGAGAGAGAGGGGGAGAGAGAGAGAGAGAGAGAGAGATAAAAGAGAAAGAAAGAGAGAGAGAGAAAAAATAACAAGAGAGTTGGAAATAAGTTAAGATGTTAAGTAATGAGATAAAGTTCATCTTTTTCAGTAGCATTTATTGCAAGATGCTGTCTCATATTACAAAAAACTTTAACATTGGAAAGAAAGTCATTCTCGCCTACAGCATAGCTGATTGGCAATGGAAAGAAAGTTCATCTTTTTCAGTGCATAAGTTGTCAGATGAGATATATTGCAGAGTCCTTGAATAACTTGGACATTAGAGAAGGCCTGTCCTCACTATCTCGAGATTGCCAAATATCCAGCTATTTTGAACTATCCCGATCGCAAACTATCCAGCTAATTTGCGTCTTCATCAGACCGAAGTAGCAATTAGAAGGATATTTGGTCAGGATTGTCATCCCAAGATATCTTGGGATAGTTTGCAAAATATCCCACTATTTGGCAAAATATCCAGCTGTTTGCCCGTGCGTCTTCACTAGACCGAAGATTCGCAATATGCGCTTACGCTAAGCAAAATATCTCGAGCTAATTTCTCAAGGTCGAGTTTCAAGTTTCGAGGTCGAATCTGGAGATAGTGAAGACGCGATTTCTTACTTCGGGATTATTTCCCAAATCAGAAATAGCGGGCTATTTGGCAATCTCAAGATGATGAAGACGCACCTAGAGAGAGTTCATACTTTTTGGTGCAATCATGCTATGGTCGACGTCTTGACGAGTTAAGTTTTTCTGAATACACTGGGGCCTACACTTGGACATCAGAGTAAAAATGTTTCTTTTTCTTCTGCTGCATGGGTTGAAAAATAAAACTACTTAATCATGTCATGGGAACTGGACTGAAAGCTATCTTTTCTCATTTAGAATGATTCAACACTTGCTCAGGGGTTTGTCTGAACCAAAGATAAATGATGAAGGCTTGAGACAGCAATTGGCAAGGTCTTATAGCCCATTTCTGGAGCATAAACATGTAGGTTGAAAGATTGTTTGATTAAAGGCCATGGAATTCAGACATTTCAAAATCTCCCTTTTTCTTCTTTCTACATACAATTGCAGAACAAGACAAAATAGAAACTCATATTTTAAGTATCTAATTATCCACTGGGAATCGATACTATCATACAGTCAAACCTGCTTTAGTGACCACCTGTCTACAAAGACCACATTTTTTGTTTCCCTTGAAAATGCTTTCTCATTGAAACATGTACTAAAGGAACCTGTCTACAAAGACCACTAGTGTCTCCCTTGGGCGGTAGCTATCGACTGTATGATGTAAAAGGAAGTTGTTGATGGGGTGAGCCTTACCTCTCCTTCTCGAAACTCTTCTAGACATATAGCACAGATGGTACCGTCCGATGCTATACTGAGCGTGGTAGCCCAACGGTCATCGGGTAGGATCTTCTGCGAGTACCGCGGCTCGTGGTTACGACAGTACTTCCTGACCTCCATCTTGGAGAGTGCGTTCATGGCTTGCCTGGCTTGGGAGGACTGGACAAAGAGAGAGGGAGAGAGTGGAAGAAAAGCGGTGTAATATTGGAATGAGTAAATGAACTTATGTAAAGGGAGAGGGAGGGGGAGGAAAGAGGGAGGGAGAAAAAAAGGGAGAGAGAAAAAGAGGGAGAGAGAAAAAGAGGGAGAGTAAGTGTATGTGACAGAGAGAGAGAGAGAGAGAGAAGAAGAAGACAAAGAAGACAAAGAAGAAGAAAAAGAAGAAGAAGAAGAAGAAGAAGAAGAAGAAGTAAAAGAAGAAGAAGACAAAGAAGAAGAAGAAGAAGAAGAAGAAGAAGAAGAAGAAGAAGAAGAAGAAGAAGAAGAAGAAGAAGTAAAAGAAGAAGAAGAAGAAGAAGAAGAAGAAGAAGAAGAAGAAGACAAAGAAGAAGAAGAAGAAGAAGAAGAAGAAGAAGAAGAAGAAGAAGATGAGAGAAAAGAGAGAAGAGAGAAAGAGAGATAGAGATAGAGTGAATAACAAAGGGTAGATATATTGACAGGTAGACGTGTAGTAAACATAAATACAGAAACGGAGAGAAATGAAGGAAAGGTAACCATGAATTTGAACATATTAGTGGCAATTGTCATAAATTCAAAAACTTTCATTCCACTATCTCAGGCATAGCATAGTTCCAAATACCTTATTTTCCATTATAGTACTAGACTAAAATGGATCGCTTTCCCCCTTAATATAACTCTAATTGAAAGAATTCTGCCATTATATCACATCAATACTCTCCTTGAAAAAAATACAACATTCAAAACAATGAATAACTGTACCCCCAAAATAATGTATCTTGATTCAGCAAAAGTCACAAAAAATGGTTCATCACAAAAAAAAAAAATCATACACATACTTTGGACATTAATTAACACAAGATGGACACTATTTGTAATAGATGCTTCTCTCATGATGGGAGTTTGTTACCACGATTCAGTCAATTTCTCTTGATTCTTCCAAATAATTATGCTTCAGAGAGTATAGCTATGCCTGACTGGTCCAACCCACCCAAGGCCTGGTATCATCATCATCCAGATAAACTGCATCAATTGCTTCGCTCCGAGCTGGCGTGTCTTACAATTAAGGACCTAAGGTTTCGGCAAAAAACTGACCCCTCACGCACTTCTGAAAAACTCATCATCGCTCCGCAGTCTCCTCACCAACTAGCAATTGAGGAGGGAGAACAGAATGGCTGGGGCCAATAGTCACAGTGACTGCATACCTCGTTTAAACCAACTTGATTTGATTTAAAGGTACTATGTCCCATTTGCAGGCCACTTTTTCTTTAAAAAAAGTTAAATATTCCAACTGTATTTGAAAGATAATACTAATGTAGAGCTTCCCTCAAAACGAAAGGGCTTGAAAATGTCTTTTAGTGGGAAAATAACGACTATTAGTTGTTAAATCGACTTTAGTGGTTGCAATCACTAAAGTAATGGTCTGATTTTCAGACCCTTTTACCAAATGGTTGTACATTTTGTGCTGCGCAAAGATTGAATCAGTTTAATTTGGGCCATTACAAGAAGTGGTTATTGATGTAGACAGATGCTCATGTACCCTTTACAGCTCATTTTATATATGTTATTACCAAAGAAAAGAAAGAAGTCAGTCAGTCACTCAATAGTGTCTGAGAGTGAAGTCTAGAAAGTAAACAGGACTCTGCTAACGTTTAAATTTCACAGATAGGAAATACGAGACATAATCGTAGTTCCTGCAAAGTTCTACAAAAATGTTTGCTGCAAATGGGACATACTACCTTTAAACCAACTGATTAGATTTAAACGACTGTCCACAATAAGATCTTGGTTAAGAAAATAAGGCAACCTTTATTGTCTCTTACTGGCGCTGCTACGTTCCCGAGGCTCGACGTGCGCCCAGAGACTGACATAGCTGACCCGAATGGAGGGGTTCTACAGCCATCTACAGATGGCCACTCCATACTTTGTCTGGGTTTGTTATGATTTGAAAACCGGCCCACGAACATTTACCCATTGTGGGATGCGTGCGGTTTTGAAGAGGAAAGTCGATCGTTTTTCACAGGACGTCTCCTGTTCTGTGGTTGGTTACAAACTTCGTCATGAGGGTAAGGGGCCATTTCGTTCCATCTGCTTGATAAAACTATCCCATGTTGGTCCTCTTTACGCTGCTATGGAACATTGTGAGTCCCATCGCTGCGCCTTTACAGTGAATGTCACCACAAGCATACTTGTATTGTATCTATGATGTATAGATTCTGATCCGAATCACATGTTATTTCATCCGTTCAATTTCTTTTGCCAAATAAATTATTTTGTTTTGAAATATCGCTTTTATAAAATAATTTGCACAAAATGTAAACTTGAGCCTGATGTCCAATCCTAGAAATAGCTTCCTCTGTGAGCTCTTGATTTTCAGCTACAAGGCTGTCCTTTAAGTTGCGGAAAATTCATCCTATTACAAATATTGTTGATTACAATGTTGATTACATAGATATGCAAAACCTCTCTACATGACAGTTAGAAGAATGAAGGTCTCCTCCCATCCATAGGATTGACAAAAATCTCTTCGAAGATTGAGACACGATACTGGTATTTTACAATTCTATCAAGTAGACTTTCTGGGTGTTGAGACCTTTCTGGGTGTCAAGACCTTTTGGGTGTCGAGACCTTATGCGTGTTGAGACCTTTTGAGTGGCACACAAAACCTCGATTCTAATCACGTATTTTATTCATCAAATCTCAATCAAACTGGAGTCTCCACAAGTCTTTGTGATAATGATTTCTCCGCATTTATACTTTTATGTGAAGATACTTCTTTCATGAATAATTGACAGAAAGTTCACATATGAAATTCTTATAAGTATGTGATAATGATTTCTCTGCATATATACTTTCATGTGACAAGACTTCATCCATGCACAAGGCGAACAATTGACAGAAAGTTCACAAGTCTGCAATGACATTCTTATAAGTATGTGATAATGATTTCTCTGCTTTTCATTTCATGTGAAGAAACTTCAATCAGGTAAAAAATTAATATTTATTTTTCGGGGGCTTCTTTTAAAGCTTGCCTGCATAAAACTAACACTCTAAAATTTATTTTGCATTGAACTCTATGCAAATTTACAGGGGCTCTTTTGGGCATTTCGGGGGCAAATTCGCCCTGAGCCCCCGCGTATTTTTTTCACTGAACTTCATCTCAACCCAACAGAATATGATTGACAGAAGGAGTCAAGCTCCTGTGAGGTCCAAGCCATGAAACCAGAAACTTTCATGTACATGAAACATTTGTGTATTTCAAGAGTGTTCAGATTTAGTTAACAATAATAATAATAATCTGTTTTACTGAGGAAAGCCTCATCAGCGTCAAAGCTGTTCTTTCTGAGGACCCTGCGATTATTACTACTCCAGCAAATTGCCAGGTACCCATATACACCTGGGCGGAGAGTGGCAAATCAAGATTTGCATCTTGCCAGAGGACGTTGGTGATGGGGTAGGATTTGAACCCTGAATCACCCACTGGATTGAGGGTCAAGTGAATGAACCACTACGCCACAACATCTCCACATTAAGTTTAATTCCACACAAAAATTAATAACTTGCGTAAAACTGAATTTCTGCAAACTGTCAAAGTTTCTTGCCATATAAATTACTGTCAATCATTTAGAAATCACGAAAAATCATGTCATAACAGATTCAGATTTTTTTCTCATCAGGTTATTCATTATGACTTTCTATTAAAAGACATTTTTGAAGGTTTGCATTTGTGTCTGTGCCATTTCATGATCCCTGCAACCTTTAAATATTATTTTTTATTGATTTCAGCAAAGAGCGTACAGGATAATATCTGTCCATCAAGACCATTTTGCAGGCGTTAATATCCGGCGAATGCATAGGTTGTATGTCAAAGCAACAATTGCTCTGCAGTTAATATCCTGCACTATACAAATCCCTAGCATGAACCATTGATGATATAAAGCTAGGAGCTATTGTCATCAGAGTATTTGTCAGCCCACTCACATCTACAGATGAACTTTTTGGCAAATCCATCCATCTGAACTCGGGAACTCGAATCATTCATGAAAACTTAACATCAGACCACTTTGCATGCATTGGTCTTTAAAGACAGTTTAGACAGTTTATATATTGGGTATCGAGACCTTTTGGGTATTGAGACCTTTTGGGTTAGTCTACTACTCAATTGGTCTACCAGGTATTCCAATATATTGTCTACACGTACACCCAGCCTGTCTACCATCCACATGGGGTCTAATAATCATTTTGTCTACTTATCATTTGGTCTAATGACTATTTAGGCTAATAGTTATTTGGTCTACTCTAATCTCAAGTAAGTCTACAACCCATTTGGTCTATTGCTCATTTAGTCCAATTTCCAGTTGGTCTAATTCTCAGTTTGTCTGCTGCCCATTTCGTCTACTATCCATATGGTCTGATAATCATTGAATCATCGATAATAAGAATAATTATCAAATGACCAATGGGTGTACACCAAATGTAAATAGACTAATTGGGTAGTAGAAAAAGTGCTTGTAGACCAAACGGCAATTCCCTGTTTAGACCACTAGGAGGAGGTCTTTGTATAAAGATTTAAAGCCTGTCTGCACTAGTTTGGCCAGGAGGGATTACACCTCCCTGCAAGGTCACTGACAGGTGGTTATCTCATCCATCAAATCAGCTCTCAATTAACATAAGAAAAAGAGGATCATGGGGGACCAACGGGCACCGCTTAGGCATTGTTTGCTATATATAGAGGGCGCAAGCTGCTACAAGTAGTGCAGTCCCGCTTTAAATGACTCACCTGTTTTCTCTTCTGTCTCCATCTCAACTTGAGAACAAGAAGCAGACATATGATGGAGATGAGGATGAAGAATGCCACAAAGATGCCCATGTCGAAGAACTCGTTGGAACTCTGCAAAGACAAGAATAAAAAACGATTTAATATAACAAAAAAAAAATTCCTTAGTCGACATGACAGGTAAAATGTATGCATGTATATCTAAACAGGTATTTACTTTTCATGCCTTCCCGTACCACGATCTGATGAGCATAATAATGCATAATATATACGTCTTCAAATGTGTATTCAGTTTCTTATGCATTCGTGCACACCAAACCATGGGATACAGGAGGAAAATATTGCACGGTCATCCATGTAATTTTACGCAAAGACTAAGATACCGGTATGTAGATTTTTCTGGACTTTTTTCATACAAATAATAATATCAATACAAATGATGGTATGAACTGGAAGTAGCGGCAAACCAAGGAGTAATAAATGTATAACTCCTTGAGCAAACTCTCTTCTCGCAGGCACATCAATTGCCGTTTACTGTAATAAGGTTTAAGAGGGTACCTGCTGCCATTTGTTCATTCAAGAAAAAAAATGGCAGCAGGTACCCACACCAACCAAGTATCATAAAACCTGTCATCATCAGCTCGAGTTTTCCAAATAACCCACTATTTTAACTACACTGATCGCAAATTATCCAGCTAATTTGCATCTTCATCAGCCCGCAGTTGCAATAAGCCGGATATTTGGTAGAGAAAATATCCCTAGAAGGCGAGAAAGGTTCAGGATAACATTCAGAGTCTGAAAATAGCGGGTTATTTGGTAACTCGAGCTGATGAAAACAGGCCAATTATTTATGATTCAAATTTGAATGAAAAGTAACGGGCAAAAATGATTTATGGAAAGTGCTCCTTGGTGATTTCTTTATGTCACAAGACAGTGCTACCAATCCATCAACAATATTCTTATTCTCACTGAGTCTTTATATTATACATATCACCATAGCAACAAAAAAAAGAAAGACAAAGGAAAGATAGGGAGAAAAATCAGAATAGATGATAAATTTGTTGTCTTTCAAACTTTCAAATCTAAAAATTAAACAATGACAACAACAAAGTTGCGCACATGAACCCTGGGAAGGCGATGTATTGGGGGTGGGACATGCGCTAATGTTATGTTTTAAGTTCTTGATTGTGGTGTAGTTTAGATTAACTACCAAATAATAGGTAGATACATTGATTTATTGTGGTAAATAAATCAGTAGAAAGAAGCAGAAATCATGTCTTAATCTGGTAAATACCATGTCTGTTTCTACCATAATCTTATCCAAACAATGGATCATAATACCTGATTTCAATTGCTTTCACAGTCTTTGAGGCATAATTATACTAGATCGTGGTACTGTGACGCCAGCTAAGCATGAACTAAATCCTATCCTAAACATAATCCAATGATGTTCTTCTCTAGTCTCTGGCCCTTTTAGTATAAGTACCTCCTCGAGTACATAATCCTGCGCTCAGACTACCAACATATACTTTAAAGCTACCCGTATAGCTATACGATAAGATAAATAATTATTTTGTCCTAATCCGAACATGGTATGAAGAAACGTACAGCGAAACGCCTTTGAACATCATTTCAAACATCGTTTCAAACGAAAACTTGTTAAAGAATCAGGGTCCCATTGTTTCATAAAAAAATTGTATAATTGTGCTGACTTATCGTGAGCGCACACTCATGATCGGTCAGCTGTCATGTCAACTGCCCTTGTCATAATTAGTTTCTTTAAATGACGTTTCGTTAAACCATGTAGTTTTCCAATCTACTCTAGGCTCCTTTCACAATGCAACGATTCTTTATAATCGTTTTTTTTTATATATAAATTTCTCTTTGTATGAATTTCGAGGAGTCTGAACAGGCAATTAAAGATGGTGTCCTCAACGGGGCTAGTCAATAATGGAACTAAATCCCTCATAAGCCACGGCACCCACGATTTTTACCTGCTGCTAATGGATAATATCACTCAAAAGATTCTCCCTACCTTCCAAAGATTCCATCAATCATTTCATGAACGCAAGACGTGCCCTTTACAAAACGACAAGCTTCTGCAAACTTCTTGAGGCATTTCTTGCAAGAGTCTGATATTTCTAAAAACGGTTTGTGACACTAACAACGTCATTCTTCTCGTCTATGTCACTATTTCCTCCAACTGCACATAATATTAACGCTACAGTACAGTGACACCTGTCTTCACAACGGCCTCTCTATGACGGCCACTATGAAGACAAAAAATGTCTTAAACCTAAACATTTTTTTCCAGAATAAATATACAATTTCTGTAAACATGATCAAACATTTGTTTAAATATCACCTAGTTTTACCACTGGAGTTCCACATGATCTTTCAATGCAGGGCCTATGCAGCCACACACTGCCGCACCACAGAATGATTGAACAGACGAGCGCGTAGTAAATCAATACCTCTGTCTCGATCCACCCCCTTAACATTACACAGAAACTGCTCACTTACTGAGCAATTATCCTGCAAAGGCGGTCCCTATTACTGGATAAGAGAGACCGATCAGGCCGCCTTACACAAAGGGACATAAATCAATTCTATACCTGACTAATTAATGCAGCCCCTATGGTTTCCCTATCGATTAGGCCGCTAACTTCAGCTAAGCTCTTAATTGGTGGTAGTTTCAGTATCTGTGTGATGTGCTTGTTCAATAGATCCTCTAATTAAATAGAATGTTACAATTTGATATGGCAATTTCAGACAAGGAAAAAAGCTAATTTGTTTATACTATTTTGCTAATTTGGGCAAGGGAAAATTAGACAGCTCCTATCAATTTTAACATCTGCATTCTGCAATGTAAAGTACATGTACACAAGTAGATATTGTAAGAAATAAGAAGTGCTCAAAATATATAAAGGCTTGAAGCAGTAAGCTCTCGGTGCTCGTAAAACATAGCCCAGAAGTAGACTTCCAATAAGCCTCTAGATTTTGCAACAGGTACAAGTACATCTTTTTCTTCTCTCCTTCCACATGACATTTACTATTTTCTTTCTGTTGTTCCGATTTGAAAGAAGCCCCTGGATTAAAAAAAGAAAGAAAGAAAGAGAAGAAAAAAGAGTGATACTAAAAAGATAACTGATTTCTGATCTATTAAACAATCGACCAGGAAAGCAAAGAATGATTTGTGTGATCTTAAAAGCTAAACCACTTTGATGAAGGAAAAAAAATGCTTCAGGAGAGAGAGAGAGAGAGAGAGAGAGAGAGACAGAGACAGAGGAGAGAGAGCGACAGAGGAGAGAGAGAGCGACAGAGGAGAGAGAGAGAGAGAGCGACAGAGGAGAGAGAGAGAGAGAGCGACAGAGGAGAGAGAGAGAGAGAGAGCGACAGAGGAGAAAGAGGAGAGAGAGAAAGAGGAGAGAGAGAGACAGAGAGAGAGAGACAGAGAGAGAAAGACATAGAAATAGAGATAGGATATACAGTGACAAAAAGAAAGGGAATTGGAGGGGGGGGGGGGGGGGGGGGGTGAGAGAAACAGGAAAAGTTAAATATGAGGGGCAGTGTAATGTAAGGGGAAATGGCAATCGGGGGAAAGAAAGAGAGAGAGAGGGAGAAAGAAGAAAAATACTTGAGAGGGGAAAAAAATAGTCAAGTCTATGATAAACGATGAGGCAAGATAGCTCTACCCAGATGATCATAAGAGGAGATAAACGAGGGAATGATTTAGGTAGAGTGAGGGAGTAATAGCGGCAATTGAACGAGGCTCCTCGCCTCACAGCGCATCACTTCGTCTGAGGCAACGAGAGTGCGCCTCCCCGCCATTATCATTCTCCATGAACGCAAACGGGCCAATATCTCTGGAAATTGATTGAATTTGGGGAAAAATCAGCAACATAATGGCAGAGTCGGCGGTTGGCTGTTAAGGAAACTCAAACGTTTGATAGAGGAATAGGATGCTTCCTTACCTCCCGAGGTGAAAATAGAGGCCTGGTTGGGGGGCAATTTACCAGCATCTCAAACATAACATTGCTTCACAACATGGCATTTTACTCATCTTGATAAAGAGAGAAAGGACATTTTGATAGCTTTCTGTGTGTTTTGAGAAGAAATGTTTGTTTAATGTATTCAAACTAAGATTTATCATGTGGAGGCTCTATCTAAACAGTTTGGTATTCTGAAACATATAGAAAGTATATTATTATATACACAAGATCATAACCAAGAAAAATAATTGGTAAAAGTAATTATTTTCAAGCTAAATTATTAATTTTACCACATGTTGAAAAACTTAAATATTCCTATGTGCACAACCGAACTGCTCCACTTGAATGTACTGGATAGAATCATTCTACTACAAAGACACTTCATCAATACTCATTGTTCCTGTACTTTTGTTATGATGTCAGTAATTCTCAAAAATATATCATCACGAGACAATCTGTCTTCTGAAGTAGTATTTTTGACAATGACATCATTGATGACATCATTCCTTGAGATGACAATGAAGAAACTTGAACCCGAGGTAGAATGACGGCAGTAGAGAATGAATGATGTCGTTGCCAGACTCTTCAAGGATGCAAATGAGAAAAAATATGATACCAATATCAGGCAGCTATGACGAAAATGAGAAACAAATCTGAGCCTTGGCCACAGGGAGCATTAACAAACAAGTCCCAATTGATCCTCAAAAAAGACTTCACTTTTGTGGAGATGCTATTAATGTCACTCACAGCTGACATCGTCGTCGTCGTATAGTAATCTCACCACCCAACAGATGAATGAATATGCATGAGGCGGCTTAGTGTCATATTGGGAATGACTGGATTCATTTACAAGTCACAGGAACGATTCGTCTCTTTAAGGCATCACCTCATGAGCCTGTTACCCCTAGAGAGAGGGTATATTCTGAAAATCAAGAAAAAGAATTCATCCAAACCTTTGGAAATGCATGTGCTGTATACTATCAGGGCATTTACAAGTACTGTACAATGTATTCAGTGTAGAAGCACAAACATACACTAGTGGATAGATGACTTGGTTTCATGTTATAGATGATAGATGAATTTAAAGACAGGTTTGAAATTAAGGACAGATGATGCTAGAAT